TGCTCCAATGAAGACATGCTAACAGCCCTTTATCCCTACACAACGACTTTCTGGAGAGTGCACAGCACCACACGCATCTCTAGAGACGGCAAGCTTTCCCTGCCCATGTCTGCCTTCCAGGCATCCTGCCTCACTGCCCCAACCCAGTGTAGAAGGGGTGGCAGAGATGCTGCCTCCCGTGAGGGGCTCCTGCAGCAGGCACAGGGTCTGCTGAGGTCACAGCAGCTGGCACAAGGCCCTGCTTTCCTTTCACCTCACTGCCGAATAAGCTTCTTATTCCCTGGTATAGGATGCAAAACTGAAGACATTAAAAGAGCACAATCAAACGAGATAGTAATAGATTTTTCTTTGCAGATTATCCCCGAAGACTGCCTTTGCAAAAACCTTGTCCCTTCTAAGTTGACATTTTTTCCTTGTTGTGGGAGGCTATTAACTGTTAGGAACTAATGCTCCTAATTAAAACTCTATGGCCTGTGCCCAGTAAATCAAAAGATACACATGCACCTCAAATCAGCACACCCACACCCTGCATTAAATACCCTACTATGTGGATTTGCCCAAAGAAAACTTCCAGTTTTAAAGCTGTCATGTCAAACTGGGGATGTACATGACAGAGTGATGGGGCACACAGAGACAATGAATAAACACCACAGGGACTTAGAAAAATGAATTTTAACAGTAAGTGAAATAGTTATATTAAGGGACAAAATACAAACTTTTATTTCTAGGATAAAGCTGAAAAAAAATATTCTGAGCTTACTATTGCTACCTACATGATACTCAGACCTGCCTGCCTCTCCAACCTGTGAAGCTAAGTAGAAAAGTTCACCAGTCACTGTGCTAAGTTACTACCTCGGCCTTTTACATTTCTAGCTCTGTTGTGTACACAAATAACTTACACATGTATGCCACTGAAATAAACTAAGAAAACAAAACACAGAGATACAGCAAATGATGGGAGTGTTACTGGTTTTATTTGGTATTCAAATTTGCTTCCAAATCTGAACATGGTAATCATGTCTCTACTAATTCAAAGTTTAGGTGGGGCAACTGAGGATGAGTTGGACCTTAGCAGAATGTCTTTAAAACCTGGAATCTGTACATTTTATAGCTACTATCAAAATTTAACCATATGGGGGCTGGTGAGATGGCTCAGTGGTCTAAAGCACCTACTTAGAACAAGCTTAGCAAAGCACAGGGACCGCGGTTCAATCCCCAGCACCACATGCCAGCCAGCCCCGCCCCCTGGTGGGCTGAACTGGCCACACACACACAAAATAAATAAATATTTTTTTAAAAAAAATTTAACCATAACATTTTATTAATGATGCTGTACAAATGGTTTCGTACCTACTGTTGACTTTCCCCAGACACTGCTGTTTTCCATGTTGCTGATTCCTTCTCACCCCTCAGATCTACCTCTTCAGAGAGGCCTGGCCTGCCCATCCAATCTAAAGTAGCCATTTTTTACGCCCGCTATTATTTTACTATACACATTGTTTATCTCCCTTTAACAATTACCATAATATGTAGCTATTGGCTCTTTTATTTACCATTTGTCCCAAAAGGGCAGACCAGAATCTTGTTTGCTTTATTGCCATATCCCATATCTAAGTGCCACTGCGCAAATACTTTCAGTTATGGGCTACTACACAGTATTCAATAATGAAAAGGCTCTTTTTATACTTTTAAAACTTTAAAAAAAAACTGATCTTAGAACTACTGTAATCTGGTGCTCTTTTATAAACAAAAAGACACTGAACTCCCGATCCTCTTAGGACTATGAGTTTGGGACAGTGCCAGGACCAGTCTTCCACCTGCCTGCCTTGCATGCTAGGGAGCTTTCCAAACCAGCCTCTTGCTCCCTTTAGTCTCATTTTATTGTTCCTACAGGATGTATAAACAGTGCTGAAGGCAAGGCAAAATCAAATGTTTGCTTCTTTCCCATAAAATGCCTTGTTGTTTCACCAACTATCATGGAGAAACTCATCGAGACACTGTGTAAGGTGTCATCGAGGTGATGTCTCTGCCGTGGGCATAGAGAAATTCCCTTGCAGTCCTCTCCTGCTCCACAGCAAGGCCAGTGACCACCAGCATTGCCTGGGCACCATTCACACACTGAATGGATATAAACCCTGAAAAGTGAATTTATATGTCCTAATATCTCTTACATCCAAAAAAAGGAATCAATGCAGTGAATGCACACTTTAGTAGCTATCCTGACTTTCCTCAAAGAGGGTAAGACTAAACTCAAGTGACCAAGAAAAATAAAAACTCCACAAAAAGCAGGATCACACAAACAAGTTCCATCATAATCCCAAGTCACAAATCCACTGGCAAATGCCTTAATAAGGTCTTAAATTCCTGATCCAGAATCATTAGCAAACTCAGAGGTTAAACTATTACGTCTGATAAGACATTTCTCTTTACAAAAAACAAGAGGTCTTGATATCTTTTTAACCCTCTGGAATATCTATTTGCTTTATGGGATCAAGTCAAGATTCCTCGCAACATTACCATAGGTTTAACACCACTGATCTAGTCTATCAAATCAGTTTGAAAGCAAACTGATGGAAAGCTAAGAATGAGCCAACTAGCTAAGTCCCTATATCTGTCTTTATTTTCCAACTATAAGGACAAAGAGTCTTCCTCTTGGACATTGCAGGCTGATAAAATTTCTAGTCTCTGCAGACCATGTTTTACTGCAATCAAGTTTGTTTGGTTTTGTTTTTTAAGCCAAGACATAAAAACAGAATTTGCATATATTTATGAGTACCATCTAATGTTTCAATACACACGTATACTGTGTAATGTTTAAGGCCAGGTAAACACACCTATCTCATACTGGTCAAGTTTCACCTTGTCTTGTCTCATCTCTTCTCTTCTCCTTCCTCTCCCTCTCCCTGTCCCTCTTCCTGTTCCTGCCCCTCTCCCTATCCCTCTCTCTCTCCCTGTTCTCTCTGTCTGTCTGTCTGTCTGTCTGTCTGTCTCATTTTGTTTCTTTTGGAGATGGGGGTCTCGCTAGGTTGTCCAGGCTGGGTTCAAAAAATCCTCTTGCTTCTGCCTCCTGAGAAGTTGCCACTACAGGTATGTACCACTGAGACTGCATTGGCAAGTTTCTTAATCATACAAACAAGACCCAGAATCACTAGTGCCACATAACACACATTTGTGTCTATGTGCAACTGTGTGCTCAATTTTGCACTTAAAAGACTTAAAAGAACATGAGGCTGGCTTTTAAGTCAAGCAATATATCAAATGTTATAAACCCAGAGATAGGTACGTTATTAATCCTGTTAGTTGCAAAGTTTGAAGTATTACCCAAACATAATTGTTATTGAGATTTAATAAATAAGTTAGGATACTTTAAAAAAAATCTGTTCAAATTTATATAGAAAGCAATACTGGAAACAGTAAAATACATTTTGTCTACTCCCAAGAAATGATGCTTAAAGATCTCTGAAAAAAAAAATAGATGTAGATAACTACAATTCTATGCCTCAAATTTTTAAAAAGCTTGTATTACAAATATTCTGAAAATTACTGTGCACTGTCAATAACTGCACAACTAAATCAGACAGATACAACTTTCAAGAGTCAAAACAAAGCTATATATTTAATATTTTAGGGGGCTGGGGAGATGGCTCAGTGGAATCTGTGCTTCCCTGGCAAGCGCAAGGGCCTGAGGTCAATCCTTGGTTCCACCAAAAAAAAAAAAAAAAAAAAAAAAAAAAAAAAAAAAAAAAAAATTATAGTACAAACCACTAATATCCTTACATAAGGCTTTTTTATTAAATTGCCTTACTCTTTACACAAATTTGATAAAAACATTCTTGGTATTTAATATAATTATCCAAGTTCTCTGAAAATTTTTTCCACTCACATATTATTAGCATGCGGGTTTTATCATTATACCCCAATATAAAGGGGTATAAAGGCATTTAGACAGGAGCATAAAAGAGGATGTGTGTACTTTAAATAAATATTTTAAATAGTATTTTTAAGTTAACACAATGTTGAACTTGGTTAAATTTTTTAGTGAAAGTAAAAGTTCCTTACCTTTGCACTAATGTGTTACTCTTGACAATTCTGACACTGCCAAATGCACAGTAGATGCTTACAAAGTGGTTTTAAATGACCTTCATATAGAGGGGCTCACAAGAGGTAACAGCTTCAGTACAGTAAGATATACGATGCATGCATGCGCAGCCACAGGCACACATACACATACACACACAAGTCAGGTCATGTGTGGCTAACAGAGAGGCACTTCTACAGCATGGATCTGATTGTTCAGGACAGCAACAACTTTCAGCTCCATCAAAACCACCACAGTAGGGGCCTGGGAGATAGCTCAGTAGAATATAGTGCTTGCCTGGCAAGCACGGTCCTGAGTTCAGTCCCTGGTACCAGGGAAAACAAAACCAAAAAAAAAAAAAAAACTACCACAGTAGGAGCAGGTAACGGGACAGGTTTTCTTCTAGCACCATGTATGACACAGATCAGTCAGGTGGTGTGTGTATTGAGCATTTCCTGAAGTCTGATAAATAATGTGACTATAATTCAGCATCCGCCCTCCATTTGAGTTACCTTAAGGGCGGGTCTGGTAAGGCAGGTGGAGGTGGGGATCGAACTGCGGTATCCTGCACCTTACTACATTTGCATGAGCAGGCACTTGAACAACTGAGCTAACCGGCAGGCCCCCCAAAAGTGAAGAATTTTTTTGTATGTTATATATAGACATATTCAAAAGATACCAACTCAAAATGCTGGCAATTATGTCAGTGTATCTGACTTGGATAAAATAAGAGGAAAGACAATTAAGTGAGAACAGTAACATGGGAGTGCTTTTCTTCACTCCTTCATAACATTACTATATTAGTTTTTCAAATAAAAGATATTTTAGTTTATGTGCACAAAGCCATTACACAACTTGGCTATAATACTAAAATAATCCAATTTCTAGATAAAATCATACTGCATAGTTTTAAATTTCATACAAGCACACACCTGAGCCAACCTCCTTCTCCTCTTCCTCAATGTTGCTTTTGATGCTATCATACTCTTCATCAATGGTCTGGTTACCACGCATCTGAGATAAAATCCGACGGGCCTTCTGAGTCTGCCCTTTCTGAATAAGCCATCGAGGACTTTCAGGTAAGAAGAGGAAACCAAAAAACTGTATAACTGCAGGGATCGCTGCAAGTCCCAACATGTACCTGCAAGAAAGAAAGTTCACAGTTACTGTAAAATTTGATCTACCAGCACTTAGCACATGCTTACCACATACCTTTGTGTTTGGACTAAAATAATATCTAGTGCTTAGTCAATATTTTTATTGTATATGCATATACATGCAGCAGATAGGGTATTTTACACTACAGTGAAAACTTAAAGCTGAGAAAATATTAACAAATCTCTCATAAAAATTACACTAAAAAATAGCTACAATCATATACATACTATGAACCAAACCTATTATAAAAACAACATACTAACCATCCCCACCAAACAGTAATATACACAACATAATATGTATTTTACAACATAAAAGTTGGACTGGTATGGTGTGGGCATCCACCACAGGCCCAGCAAGCCTGTTTCATTTATGTAAAAAACTGTGTTCACTAACACCTGCAGGTCACCAAAAGGTCTCTTGGCTTAATGCTCTTTTCAACATTATCCTATCTTTTAAGCTGTGTTAAACACAAAATGTAGTTTCTTTAAAGGCTCCAGAGATACACATCATTAAGTAATTCTACTTTCAAGGCAATTTCACCTTAATTCTAAAAACACTGTCATGTGAGTATCAAGAATACCACTTCCAAGGCCAACCCAATGGGCCTGCCTGCCGGCCCTGCCCCCCAGGGGCATTGAGACAGCAACTGAGACTGGCTGTGGTGGCATCACGCCTGTAATCCCAGCTCTTGGGAGCTGTAAACAGGCGGATCACTATGAGTCTGATCTACACAGTGAGACCCTGAACACCCTGTAGACCTTTCCCTAAAATACAGAAAAGAAAAGAAACAAACAAAAAAAGAATACTACTTTCTACAAACTAAAACTACATGTGGAAAGATTCAGAAAGTAAACAAAGCACTGATCAGAATGACTTGGTGTTTTCTTAAAACATGAGTTGTGATAATTACACTGGTACTTAATCATTTTTTCCTCTCCCCACCCTCAGAACAGTTTCTTAACCTGGATTTAATCACCCTTTTCAACCGTGATTTAGATCACTATATCCTATATTGTAATAAATTATTCAACCCATTCCATGCAACAGTCCAGAACCTAGTAAAGTATCTTGTACAGTGTAGGCACTTGAAAAATGTTTTATGAAATTTTATCAAAGCAACTATATTCATCTAACCTTTCTCCATTAACTTCAGAATCATACAGCATTTTAGGCAGCAGCTCTTCCAAAACATTTAGCTCTGCACACATACTTGCACAGAGATTCTGTCCAACTAAACCATTTTTACTCTAGATACAACTAGATATTTTCCAGAAGAATCTTTGGATCAGAGCAAGGACAGCTCATAAAAGGAGGTATATATATCTGGGTTCTCTTCCTAAGAAGTTATTTTACAGAACAAAATCCATTATTTAAATGAATGTTTTATTGCTCCAAATGATTAAAATTTCAATCCAAATTGAAGTCTCCAAAAGAATTTAAAACAAATGGGCTAAGGGTGTAGCTTACCAACAGTACTCCCACCCAAGGCCCTAGACCAAAATCCTCAGAGATGCAAGGGAGCCCAACCTGGTAACTAAGCAAGACAGAATCACAGAAGAAAAATATTTTTTGAAAGATCTGGGGATGTAGATCCATTCAAAGAACCTGGGTTCAATCTCCAGGATATGTCTATGTGAATGAGAAAAGGCACAAAAGAGGAAAGGAGGGAATTCATAAAAGACAGATACAGAATACAATGGATAAGGAAATAATCAAGTCCTGAATATGCAAACTTTCATGTTTCATTTCTCTGCTTCCTGATTAAAAATGAAGACTCAAGAGCTGCAGAGAATACTTCAGAAAAGCACTTGAAATGAATATAGAAACTGAATCATTTTCAGGCCCAGGAATGCTCACATAATACTTTGTACTCTACTAGTGATTATCAAATCTCAAAAGAAATAGAAGCAAGGAAAAGAGAAAGAAAAAAGAAAAACAAATGCAAACATACCTATTGGCCTATGCTTAAACTATAGCATAAAGACTACTTTAGACCTAAAGCCTTTGCAAATAGATAAACCCCAAAAGCCTACAGGTGAAAATTACAATTCTATGCAATTGTACCAATGCATAGAAAGGAACCTGTACCCTGCTGGCAATCTTAAGGATATTAAAGCCTGTTTCCTAAAACTAATCAAGGAACCTGTTTTCTGCACCTACCTCCTAACTCTTTTCTGTTTTTTTCTTTCATAATTTTATTGACAAACAAATAGCAATGAGACAGTTTCAAATCAAATTGCCAGGAAAGTTTCAATAATTAACACACTGCATACATTCTTCTTAGTGGTTAATTGCTGTACAAGATGTGGACTTGAGATCCTATTTAAAAACACCATTAGAACAAATCATTCTATTCATTAAGAGAATTTAACTATATATCTATCCTAACCACTTTGAATATAAAGATACAAAATGGACACTCATCTGTATACGCTTTTTTTGTAAAGTTCCGTTATTTGAATATTATACGTGAGTAAACTCAGCAAAATATTCTAAAAGAGTCCAGTAGTCCATAATAGCATTGGGTCTTCTGTTTAACTGTCAATGTCAGAAATTGTTGACCTGAGTCCCCGACAGCTCAACATAACAGGATGGCTTTACTTCCTATATTTCGTATTCATACTTTTCTACTGGATGGTAAAGACCAAGGTAAAGCAGGACCTGTGCAACAAGAGTTGTAGCTTTTGGGTCTGAGAAGGTCAGTGAAATCCCCTCAAGATTTATTCTGAGATCCTGTACCTCAGATTGTAGAACCTTTGTCAGTGTCAGCCATGTGGATGAGTCACATTGTTTGGCCAATGTGCTCTCTGTGAAAGCCTGAGAAAGTGTTTTCTCTCCATGTGACTCTCCTTAGGCACACTCTACATCATCGATCACTTTCCTCTTTGGCCCCATAATCTTCTTGATCAGAAAATTTGGG